TAAATTTGTATTTCCTCCTTCTCAATTTCACAGATCGATGATTCCTTCTTATCGTAGGCCTTAGCTACCTCAGCATATGATTTTTTCTTTCCTTATTAAGTTGAGAACTTTCACCTTTTCACTTAAAGGAAGCACTGTGCAGCTTCTCTTTAGCACATTCAAATTGCCAGCATCACCACTTTTGCGCTTCAGAGCCATTGTTAAGTAAATAAGAGTCTTGAATGCATTCCTCACAAAGAAGAGGGGACTGCTATAGGCTTATCTGGCATCAAAGCTTCCATTTTTTTCTCCTATACTGTACTGTCATTGGTAGAAGTGCAATAACTTAAGGCCGAATATTGTTATAATCATTGCAATTGGATTTTTACCATATTCTTTCATAAATACTTAAAGTATACTGTGCTAGGATTGAAATTACAAAGAATAATTCTAGACTCTTTCCATCCAGAAACGTATACTTGAAAGGACAAATGTGTCAACAGTCAACCACAGTAGATGATGGTAGACTACATCAAGACAGCAGAAACAGGAAAAGTACCGTCATGAGTTGCTTGACATCAGGGCTGTGTTCTGAGAAATGTTTGTAGGCAATTTCATCATGGTGAACATCATAGAGTGCACTTATACAACCCAGTTGGTACAGCCCACCTCACACCTAGGCTACATGGCATTGCCTATTGCTCCTGGGCTACAAACCTGCACAGAATGTTACTGTACTGAATATTGTAGGCTATTGTAACATATTGGGAAATATCTGTGTATCTAAACATAGAAAAGATACAGTAAAAATAACATAATCTTATGGGACCACTGTTATACATGCTGTTCATTGCTGATCAAAACATGGTTATGTGGCACATGACTGTACTTACTTCCATCTGGAAGAATCTAGGAGGTATTTGAACTAGACTTGTTGGATAAACAGGAATTTCCTAGTTAGACAGGTAGAGGGAATGGGAAGAAGAGGAAGGAGAAGGAGGAGGAGAAAGAGGACATTAAGAACAAAGATAAATGTGGGGAAGTGCCAGTAGTTTTGCATTGCTTTACTGAGAGTATAGAGGGGAAGGTGACCAGAGTGAAAAGCCAAGACCAGATCAATCTTGGGACATTGACATGCAGAGAGAAGTATCGGTTTTTATCCACTGCACAGTGTGACACCATTAAAGAAATTTAAGCACAGGAGTGGCAGAATCAGCGTTACCGCCTTAAAATTCACTTTGGGTTGGGCATGGTATCTCGCACCTTTAACAGGAGGTTCACTGGAGGCTAGGAGTTCAAGTGCAGCCTGGGCAATATAGCAAGACCCTATCTCTAAAAACAATATTAAAATAAAAGGGAACACTTCTACACTGTTGGTGGGAATGCAAACTAGTTCAGCCTCTGTGGAAATCAGTGTGGCAATTCCTAAAAGTTCTAAAAATCGACCTTCCATATGACCCTGCAATCCCCCTACTGGGAATATACCCGGAAGAATTCAGGTCACTCTATAAAAAAGATACCTGCACACATATGTTTATCACAGCATGGTTCACAATAGCGAGAACGTGGAACCATCCATGCTGCCCATCAAAAAAGGACTGTATTTTAAAAATGTACATATAAACAATGGAATACTACACAGCCATAAAGAAGAACAAAATCATGAACTTTGCAGCATTCTGAATGGAATTAGAGTTTATAATACTGAGTGATCTCTCACAGAAACAAAAAACAAAGAGCTGAGTATCACATGTTCTCACTCATAAGTGGACCTTGAACAACTACCGTATTACTATAAGAAAAGGATTGAAAGTGGTGGGAAACTGTGGGGAGGGGGATGGCGGTGGGGAGGTGGGATTGATAGTAGTCAATATCTGCCTGGGGAAGGGTGGGGCATGCCTCATCAATAAGGGTACCTGCACAGTGAATATTTGTATACCTAGCCCTGAATTTTATCCCAAATAAAAATTAAAAGAGGAAAAACTACATATATAATATATGTGTGTGCATATACATACCACATATATATATACACACACACATACACACACATATTAGCTGGGCATGGTGGCACATACCTGTAGTCCTAGCTATTCAGGAGGCTGTGGTGGGAGGAGTTTGAGGCTGTAGTGAGCTACAATCATGCCACTGAACTCCAGCCTGGACAACAGAGTAGACTCTGTCTCTAAAATAATAATAATAATAATGTTCCAAGTAAAAGACGATGAAGGTTTGCACTAAGGATATGAGGGTAGAGAAAACAGGACGACTGCAGAGTGGTTGAGCAGAGACACATGTAAAGTCATTTGATTTACCTCATTTGAGTAGTCACAGACCTTTTACTATCCCAGATTCTTGATCTCCCCACCTGTCTTTTCTCTAAATTAAAATAAGATAAATAATAGTTTTCAATTTATAATATGGCTTTTTATTTACTTCATGTAAGCAGTTACTTTGCTTAATTTTTCTACATTTTCACATCTGGATCATACAGTGAAAAAGTGTAGGGAACCCATAAATTTTGAGAAATCTCTCAACTTCATCATGAAAACTTCAAAGTTAAAAACATGTGGTTCATCCATTCAGCTCCTCTAGTATGTAAGCTTTTGGTCTGGAATTTATTTCCAGTCAAGTTGTAATGTAAAATCACCATAGTTACTCCACATTACGAGTTCTAACATCATCATGATGCTGCATTAGGTGTAATTATTTATTTCTCTCTTCCTTATCTCTTCCCCTAACAGGACTAGAGAGCTGTGAACTACCTTTTTTTTCCCGTCTATTTATCATGATCTGCTTGTCTACTTCAGTGAAAGACAAAATGCTTTATTTTGCTCTATAGGGGAAAAAGGAAGACTATTAATGGATTTTCCCTAGATTTATAAACCTGCATATTCATATATGTATATACATTTATATAGAACTATAATACCTACATTCCGTCTTTACAAGTATCTGGCAGGGTTAATGGGTGCTAAAGACCAATTTGACCATTCCACTCCATTAATCATGATATCTAAAACTTTGATCCACTTCCCTGTAATATATATCAAAGATCATATATAAAGAGACCAGATGTTTTTTAAACTTTTACTTTTTTTAAATTAGGAAGCAGAATACAAAATGAAATGTTTCTGCATCAATAGTACTCAGTAGTATAGCAAATTAATTTTTCCAACATTATATGCCTTAAAAATTATTTCTAAAAGTCTTCTAATAGATTTTGTACTCCATTTTTAAAGTGTTGTACTGTCAGTGAGATATTTACTATTAAAGTATTTTAATCATTTGCTGGGTACATCTAATTTCTCTTATCTTCATGTCCTTATTTCCCAAAACAAGGAATACGATCCTAAAACTGTATTAAATAGCTGCCTAAGATCATGATATTAACTTATGTGTCTATAAGTCAGCATTCTTCAGAATCTAATTTAATTGAAATAGCTCTGCCTGTGTAAACTTCGCCTCTGTTTAAATAAGATTTCACTGTTTAGTTTTGCCTTAAGCAAATGCAGTCTATGTTTGTCCATAAAACATTAGATTAAATGTATAGACTAATATGAATAGCTCCTCATCCTTCCACATGTACACTGGCAGCTGTCCCCTTTGCTAGCGTGTGGTGCTTGTCACCATTGAAAACCAGGGTTCTTTTTTTTCCTTCTCCTCCTCCTCCACTTCACTATTCCAGATCAAAATTGAAAAAAATGGTTGATCTCACCGAGCTAATGGAAAATGAGGTATTCATGGCCTTTGCCTCCTATACAACAATTATTCTTTCAAAATAATGATGTTCATGAGTACTGCAACTGCATTCTATAGAATCACAAGAAAGGTTTTTGCCAACCCAGAAGACTGTGCAGGCTTTGGCAAAGGAGAGAATGCCAAGAAGTATCTTCGGCCAGATGACAGAGTGGAACATGTACTAAGAGCCCACCTGAATGACCTTGAAAATATTGTTCCATTTCTTGGCATTGGCCTTCTGTATTATTCTCTGAGTGGTCCAGATCTGTCTACAGCCCTCCTGCACTTCAGACTCTTTGTTGGAGCACAGATGTACCACACAATTGTGTATTTGACACCCCTTCTTCAGCCAAATAGGGGTCTGGCTTTTTTTGTAGGATATGGAGTTACTTTTTCAATGGCTTACAGGTTGCTGAAGAGTAAATTATACCTGTAAAGAGAGTCATACAACTCATCATTAAATTGGGTTTTTAAAAATTCTATACTTCCGATTTATAATAAATACGTTCTTAGGTGTTGGGTAAGAGAGCAGCAGGGAAATTTGATGGGGGAAAACCCATTTTGAATATTAGCATCACCTATACTCTTGTTTTATCTTTGTACTAGAAATTTAACATAATAATTCATAAGCCTTTTGCCTTATTCTTAAAGTACTTTGTTGTAAAGATTGATTATGTTATGATTTGTAACATTCATCCAACATTTGATATTGTCAATCTATAAAATAGTTGTGTGTTTGAGAAACATATTTTAATACTACTGAAATAGACATATGAAATAAAGAATTTAAAGTATTAAAAAAAAGAGAAAGAAAACCAGGGTTCTGTCTTTAGCCAGCTTTTGGAGAAAAGAAATTTTTGGCAAGAAAACCTGTGTCCTCACTATTATTGATTTTAAATTTGAAAGACTACATAGAATTTACTCCTTAAAAGCAGCTGCTAATGTTCTTGATTGAGTGCCTTGTATAGGTATTTACTTTCACAGTACACTGAGTTTCTAATCTTTGTTTTAGTGCCAGGCACCAATGTTATCTAACTATCTATACTGCCCTGAAAAAGCCTAGTATTGGGCCCTTTGTAGGAAATACTATAAGAGATTCCATTTGTTATCTCCAGTCTAATTGTAGCTAATTTTCTGGTTTCTATCTTGAGGAATAGTAATTTAGAGATATCACACTTGGTTTCTCTGGGATTCTTTTGTTGAGAAAGCTAACATCAGATTCCCAGTGGAGAGGGCAAGTTCCATGATATTCTTGTAACATGTACATTTTCCCTGTTCAGGCCATGCTGGATGTGGCTGCAAACCAGGGCTGGCTGGTGACTGTCCTGAATATCACCAATTTGGTTCAGATGGTGATCCAGGGTCGGTGGTTGAAAGACTCTTCTCTTCTTACACTGCCAAACATAGAACACCATCATCTTCACCTTTTCAGGTAATTATTCTAATTGTCAATGGAATTGCTTTGTTTTAATTTTTAAAGTCTTTTTTATATGTGTAGTCACTGGAATTTCGCATCATTCCTGAAATATTAATTATTATTGAATATGAAATATTACTGTGCGAATGCCCCTGTTTCTCTGATTGAGACTTGGCCTAGTGATAGAGCATTCTCACTTGAAATTTGATTATTGGTCCCAAACCAAACCATAATTTAGCTTAACCTTCTGCTGTCTAAATAGTTTTCCATTTGCAGCACTGGATACATTTTTACTTTAATTAAATTTAACTCTAAAATATTGCCCCCATTTAGGAAAACATTATTGAAGTACTTTGTGATCTAAAGCAAAATAACTGACTAATATCTGTTATTGTAGAAGAGATTTGAGGGATCTGAAATCCATTGTCAAAAGTATATTGCAAATCTTCAAATTATCCAAAACTGGGTAGTTGTATTTATCACTTGCTCAAGATGTCACTTGTATTTAAAAGAAGAGTTTATATTAGCATCAAATTATTTAACCTGTAAGTCTCGTGTGTATGGCTACAAATATGTTTGCAAGGAAAAGAACCATACATAATGCAAGCAAGGTTGGCAATGTTAAATGAAAATGTTTTCTTCACACCAGTTGAGAGACACTTTGCAGCCAGAATGTTGATTCACAGTCATGTAGACAAGCAAAATAGTCTGGCAGTAGCCTGCCATCGTGTACCCTGTACTGTTGTCAGCTGGATGAGGGGTGGCAAGTCATTTGAGGAATCCAGACACAAATGCCATTAGGAACCTCAGGCACACATGGAGTCCCCTTGGGAAAGTCCCTCAATTTGATTCAAGTGTGCTGGGTTCCATGGCTGTTGTCTCCATGGTACTTGAGTTCTTTCTGTGGCATGTCCCTAGAAACTAACAGACACACTCAGAGAGTGAGCTGGCATGGGGAGAAAGGTAGATACCCCATGTGTGTCTGCAGCTCATTAGAAGGGTGTCAGGAACCCTTCTAATCTGGTGTAGGAGTAGGACTTCAGCAGTAAAGACGACACATTACGGTGCTAACCAACATCGCACACAGATCTGTTATGGAAGCTGCTTGGGGCCTTTGAGATTTGATAGTTTTCCTGTCACCCTTAAGATTGCTATATTAATGTAATTTCAATTATATGTTTCTTCTTGCTGTAAGATTAGGTGACCTGTGTTTCTGGGATCTGGTACCAGTTAGGCTACAAATCTCAAAGATTTCCAAAGTATATTATTTATGTTCCCAACAATTTATAATTTAAAACTTTATTCAAGTAATTATATTAGACAACCATTAAAAGATGTCAGGGCTCCAGATCAGTACTTTATTCAAATGGAAGCATTCTTCACATTAGTGCTTTCCTGTAGAAAGACACCCAATGTCTATGAAACCCTAAATATTTACTGCACTCACACACAATTTACACATTTTATGCAGTGATGGTAATACTGCCTTGGGCTGATATCTTCCAGAACACTGACTGATTTTTAAAATGTACCATAATAGCATTTAAAATTATATCTTAGTTTTTTTTTAAGTTTTAGTTATTTAAACTCCACTTTTAAACAATCTTATTTATGCTGTGAAAAATTTTTTTCATTGGTATTGCGATTATTTTTTAGGAAGTGGAAGCCAGTGGTCAAGGGCACACGTGCAAGGTGTCGGACCTCTATCGAGTGCCTTCCTGAACTGATCCATGCCTGTGGAGGGAAAGACCACATATTTAGCTCCATGATAGAAAGTGAGCTACATGCTGCCAAAACGAAGCAGGTAAGGCCGTCTCTTAAGCATTTCAAAAGCTCCCCTACTCTGGGAAGTTGTACCAAGTGTTTTCTGACTTAGCATACAGGTTTTAGAATCAAGCTCACCTGGCTTTAAATTCTGTCTCTGACATTTACTAACCGTGATTATTAAGAATATTGTATCTGTCTTACGGGTTCTTGTGAAAATTAAGCAAGATACTATAATGGAAACTGCTTTATATAGTTCTTGACATAGAGTAAGAACTCAAATTAATTAAAAAAATGACACTAATAGTAATTAATAGTAGTTTAGTCTTATTAGAAGTTGTTTCAGTAAAATGCTATTAAGCCAGCTGTGAAAAGCCTCACATAGCTTGTTCATCACTAGGATATGTGCCCCGGGCATTATACTCCCACTCTTCAAGGTAGGCTTTCTTGTTTTACGCTTGGGTATATTTTCATGCAATTTCCTCAATTACTTGTGTGTCCCTCTCTTATTATAATCACTTTATTGTTCTTAGAGTCTAAAGAATTTTTTTAAATAAACCCCTTACTTGTGAACCATATAACCTATATAGAAAGCTAAATCCATGATGTGGAATACAACATGGGTCATCTCTCCAAATAATCTTTGGGAAGGCCAAAAATATGAATGAACAATGCCAGAAATATTTGGCTATCTAGACTTTAAGTCTTAAGCAATTTTACCCTAAACATGTCAAAGTAAGCGTTCAGGATTTATAACATAATTAACATATTGACTTGCAAATGCAGGTATTAAAGAAACTTCTAAACCGTGTGTTTTTGGGGGGTGTTTTTCCAAGCAGAACTTAATTTTTAGCAAGACTTGGAAAAAGTATGACAGTAATGTCTGATTGTTCAGTTTCTGTTGAACCCAAAATTGGCACAAAACGCTATTTAAATATTCATAATAAATGCCTACCTTTCTAACTAAATTACCATGAAAATTATGAATAAAAACAATATATTTAAATCCAAACAAGACTTTTGTTAGCAATAACAGATTTCTAATATAACATACATTGCTTTCAAGCCAAGTTTTAGATGTGATGAAAAATTAGAACATTGTTATAATTAGTTCAGGGAGAACTCAGAAGTAAACTTACTTAATTTATTTGCATAAATTGCCATTCTGTTATCTTTAAAACCAAATGCAAATTGGCTCTGTCTGATATGATGATGGTTATTTGGCTCAAAAGTGCTTCAATTTGCAGAGCAATCTGGTGTCGGCTCTGCAGTGAGGCGATCCCAGGTAACATACAAATCCTGAATTATTCCAGAAATTAGTATGTTTAAAGCATCCATTTAAGTGCTAATTGCAGTAGTAATGAGAAAAAGCAGTACGACTGTGAGATTTGCATCTTCTACCCCATCAGTATGCCTGGAACGGCTGCTGACTGGCAGAGGATTTGGCTGCTAATTAAATAATTGTATGCATGGCAGTGCTCTTGCCTGATTCAATAGATGAAGATTAATCCTCAGATAAATATGTTTGGCTGGTATTGAAATGTCTTAGCAGTTTCTTTAAAAATAGCTCATGTTTTATATACATATATATATACATATATGTATGTATGTATATATATATATATGTATATATATATATATATATGCCCAATAAATATATGTGTGCACATTGTAGGTTGAAAATAATATCAAGTGCTAAAGTAAAAAGATTGCATATATATTTAAAAACCAAATGTGACTTTTAGGGCTTTGTAAAGTAAAATTCCAGTGAGTTGCTAATAACAAAGAACACTATATTGGTAACAAATTGAATGGTACAAGTAAAAAAAAAAAAAGTCTTCATGTGGTAAATGTTACTTGTGTTGTCTCGTAAAAGTAAATGCTTTATGGAAATGATGTGTTTTAGTGTCCCCTCACCCACTTTTTCACACTGGCCAGCCAGTCTTAGAAGAACATCAAGTGGTACAAATGGAAGCTTCTATACTTGGTGACTATTGGTTCTAGCGGGGGACAGACCATTGATTGTACTTGAAGCACATTCTGTGGCTTGACTATTTCAAAATCTAGTTCCAGATGTAATTTCAGATTCATAAGACAAGCTATAGGATCAGAGTTGAATTGAAAATTTGCATTGAATTTACATTTTTTTAAATTCCTAAGGGGTAGTTTGTTTCATCAGGGCTACTTCATTTCAATTAGGTATATACTTAGCAGCACTACAGTGAATGAAATCAAAGCCTATAAGGAAGTCTATGGTATATATTAAAGGAATAAAAGGAAAGCCAAAATTACAGTACTCATATACTTTTTTAAATAACTTTAAAAATAACTGATAAAACAGCCAATATATTGAAAAGTTTTCTTGACTGATAGTGATAATTGCTATGTAATGGTATATGTTAGAAAAAGATGACTTTTGAGTTTATTTTATTGTATCCTTTCCATGGATCTAGGAATGAATGAATTCATTCATTTATTTAACATTGGTGAGCACTTACTATTTGAATTCTGGTTTCTCATAAGTATCTTTCCAGTTAAAGAGCAAGAACAAAATTGGTTAAATTGTTTATTACTCTTTTAATGTTGGTATTCTCAGCATAATAATGACAAAAATGCCTATTTGTTTCTAGAAGGAACCCTAGACTTAACAGGATGTTTTATGATCTATAGATATATAGAAATATTTTTTTTCAGAATAAACAGAATAAATTTGGAATGTGGATTTAAAAATTGTACAGTAAGTGATCAGTGAATAATACTGACATCAATAACTGCATCACAGAATTTGTTTCAGGTCCCCTTTATGTCCCCAAGTAATGTTCTCCACCTTGGAAGTAGCATAAATGTTAACATAGATGCTTTTATCAAAGGAACCAGTTCTACAACAAACATTTTTAAACTTGTTACTTTCTAGTATAGTCAATAGCCACTTGATTATAAGTATATAATGTATCAGAAGGGATTTATAATCAAAGGATCACAAGTTTAGAGAATGATAAACCATTTTTTAGTTGTTTTCACAAGGACTTTAAAATGACTAAAACACACTATTTCTACACATACACATACTATAGAAACTGAGAAAATCCGAACAAGATCAGTAGATTATATCAATGTCAGCATTCTGGTCGTAGCATTTTACTATAGTAAATATTTTAAAATGCTACCTTTGGCGATAACTAGGTAAATGGTGCACAAACTCTCTCTATATTATGTCCTACAACTACACTGAAATCAGAATGAATCTCAAGTTTTAAAAGGGGGTTGATTTTTCTAAAAGCACGCGGTTTTTTTGGTTTTCACTGTGTTTCACATTAACTAATTCTTTATTATTTTTCTCTTCTTTTTTTACGTAGGCATGGAATTTCTTATCCCGCTTGCCTGTGATAAATGTTGGCATGAGTGTTAAAGGCTCGTGGGGTGACTCAGTTGAAGGACATGGTGAACGCTCTGTGTCAACTCTGACTGCAGACAAGCGAGATGACAACAGGTGGATCAGATTGCACGCCGACCAAGAGTATGTGCTTCAAGTCAGCCTGCAGAGAGTCCCTGTTGGGTTCCACAAGGTATAGTGTTTGGTTTCCATTCTCAAATATTTCACACCAAATGCCAGCATGCACCACCACGCATAGCTGTTGTATGACTAATGTTCCCGTGTCATTCATGAATCCTGCTTTCTCAACTGACCTTAAGCAACAAGAGTTAGTCTTTTGAGATAAGTCAGTCCCCGTCAAGTGCCATTTTTCAACCTCGCAGTATCCACCTTACATAAGAATAGATTGCCCAGAGGACTGTTCTCGGAGTGTGGTCTACAGACTCAGCCCAGGAGAATTTCCTTTTAAAGTGCAGGGTCTTTGGCCCCAGACTGACTGCATCAGAGCTTCAGAAGGAGAGGTCTCAAAATCTATCCATCTATTCAGCACCCAGAGGATTTTTTAAGGGCATTAAACTTCAAGAAGCACTCCCCTAGAGGCACTTTGATATACGGGACCCACTTGGCCTGGATGTAGATGAGATTGAAGCTTTTCCACTTAGTTTATGAAACTGAATAAAACACTAGGCTTTTCTGAGCCTCAGTTGCTACATCTGCCTTCTTCCCTCTGGTAACACATATGAGAGGGCTTCGTCATGTTCATAAGGACCAAAAATGTACAATATTTTTCTGTTTAATTACTATGCTCTTTCCTGTTGCCTCTAACACCAAAATTAATTATTTGGTCCTCTAAGAATATAAATACACAACATGTGGGCAGATTGGTTTTTGGTGCCATAATAATCAAAATAAGAAAGAATATTGCCTTCTTTTTAGCCCAATGGCTTCAAGGCTTTCCTATATCTAGAATAAACTCTCAGGGGTAAGGTGTAGTTAGTGCTGTCACTCTGCTTTCAAGCACAAAATGGTCAGTAACTTTCTGCTATGATGTCCTTTCAGTATTATGCCTTTAAGTTTCACCTCATTTGATTTCTAATTTTAAAAATGAGTAAATTGGCTGTTGACATTTCAGAGGCATTAATGTGAACATCTTATAGATGACTTAATGTATCCCAACTTACAAAAAAAGTAGTAATTATAAACTAGTAATAGTAATAATCATAAAAATAGTAGCAATAATAATAAGGATAAAATAATAGTGAAAATCTGAGTTTTTTACCTTAAGACTCTACTTAAAAATTAGATTTTATCAGCCAGGCTCGGTGGCTCAGCCTGTAATCCCACGCCTTTGGGAGGCTGAGGTGAGTGGATTGCCTGAGCCCACAGGTTCGAGACTTGCCTGGGCAGCGAGACCTCATCTCTACAATAAATCAAAAAATCAGCTGGGCGTGGTAGCTCATGCCTGTAATTCTGGCTACTCGGAAGGCTGAGGCGGAAGGATCACCGGAGCCCAGCAGGCGAGGCTGCGGTGGGCGGTAGCGGCCACTGCACTCCAGTCTGGGTGACCGAGTGAGACTCCAACTCAAAAAAAAAAAAAAAAAAAAAAAAAAATTAGATTTTATCATGCTAAAAAACTATAATTTTTTTCCTAAACACTAAATTACCATCTGTCTTTTAAAATGCCATAAGTGAAACATCTCTCCTCTGAATACTGAGTGAATTCTGATTAAGAGTATGTCATTATTAGTACATGTTATGCCCTACAGTCGTTGTCTTAGTCACTAGAATAATCTTGCATTTTGTAAAAGTCAATTTAAAATAAAGACTTCAAGTGCTACCATTATGTTTATATATCTAATCTTGGATTGTGGTGATTAATATATTTTATAAATTGCTTGACCTACAATTTCCCATTTCTCAGAGAAGGCCTTTTTAATATTACCTTATTAGAATATGTGCTTTTTATGTGAGTTTTATTCTTGGATGGGAAGATATTTACTTGATATAGTACTCATCATCTTGAAGTCCAGAGTCTAGTCTTGATTGGCTTTTTCTGTGTGTGTCTGTTTTTTTGTTTTCCTAAGCATCAGTTCCTTGTGAATAAGGTGTTAGTAGATTTGGATGACATGATGGTTATCACTGTTTGTTCATTTGCAAGTGGAGTATTAAAGCTAATCATAAGCGTGGCAGGAGAATTTACTAATTTGATTTCAAGATCCAGAGCTTTTTATTCTCATTGAGCCAAATAGTCTGGTAGTTATAGCCACAAAGTCGTGTCTATCATATGCTCTGAGAATCTTGAAGAGAAATCGGTATAGCACATCAAAGACAACAAACCAGAATAGAAGAAAATTAAAAACATCCCAGATAGGCTAAACTATGTAGACTTACAGCCTTGAAGTACGACAAAATAACCTTTTAACACAACCAGGTGGCATAGAAAGTCTATTCCTTATTATCTTTTCTTCTGACCTACAGGGAAAGCAAGAGAGCTGTGCAGTTACCCCTCGATTTCCCAAATCAAAAGATGAAGGATGGTTTTTGATATTAGGAGAAGTGGACAGGAGAGAACTTATTGCTTTGAAAAGAGTGGGATATGTACGAAATCACCACGTTGCTTCCCTTTCTTTTTATACCCCTGAAGTACCTGGAAGGTAAGCAGAACCTTACTGCCAAAGTTCTGAAAGAGTTACACATGCCTGTGATTAGAAAGATGGTTTTACATTTCATTGTATATTTTTATTTCAGGTATATCTACACACTGTATTTCATGAGTGACTGCTACCTTGGCCTGGACCAGCAGTATGACATTTATCTCAATGTCACACAAGCGAACATTTCCACACAGGTCAACATGGAGGTCTCTGATGCCCTTGCTGACCTGGCAGTAAAGTAACCTGACCCGAACAATCCATTTGAAAGAAGTGGTTAAGAAGTCTGGCTGTTTAGTCATCCAGACATAGTTGAATTACTTGATGTTTGCCTTGACAGAATCAACTTCTAACCTCAAGACATCCAGGAAATTGACAGTGGCTGCAGTATTGGCTGCAGTATTGACTCCAACAACATAAAGTTAGCCACTGTGGCCTTTTAACAAATATTGCCTTCCAAAATGTTGTCTTCATGGGTTTCTTGATATTTAAGATGAATAAGCATGTAGGATAATCTTTTAATTTCTATATATTTGAGGCGGCATTTAGGAGTTATCAATCAGTTTTCACATCTCACAGTGTAATGTTTACATGAATATTGGCTTTTTTTTTTTCAAGGAAAACCACATTGAGGTGTGATGGTGTTAGGAATTGTTGTAACAGATTTCTAACTCTGACACATAAAATATATAGTATAAACCTGAAAGGTAATACACAATGTGTCTTGTTAGCAAAATGTGTACTTTGATATGATCACATGTAGAAATAGTTTCAAGAATTTCTTATACTCATAAATGTTAATATATGATATAAAATTATATTATGGAGCCTAATGATGATAACAAAGAAAACAGAATATACTGATCTTAGGAAATGTGGATACTGTTACCTGGGAAATAAAGTATACTGAGTGCCACTTCCGGATAAGCTGCCTCAGTGTTTTCTTCTCATTCCCTCACCCTCTTTCTCTTCTTGATTGCACTTCCATTCTCTTTCTGATATATTTATCTATACAAGGAGAGAAGTGCAGTCTAATTCGTATTGTAACATGTACAATACTGCCCTCCATGAAAGCTCTGAGACTAACTGAACATTTTTGACCCCTGCAGGTGAGTTTTCACCAGGGAGAAAGGAAACTTCTATAGTTCCAAACAAGTGCCATCTTGAAGAATACTTACCCAAACGAAAAAGTTGTTAAAATTTAGTGTCCATATAATATATATTCTAGTGGAATGAAAGTCTATCTTTGCAAAGTAACTTCAGTTTTGGTAGCCTCGAAATGTATTATTTTAAAACATTTTTCAATATAACTGTTGCAAGTACTAGAATTTAAGTGTTTTGAAACATATTACTTATATATACTTCCTTTTACATGTTTCAAAAAAGAAAAGTAGGATGGGGAAACCATTTACTTTACAAAATTAAATGTAAATAACAAACATTTAATTTTGTAAAGTAAAATAGCAAACAAAAATTGTGAACAAACAGTGCAAATAAGGTATCTCAACAACTCTAGTCTCAGAAGTTTGTTTCAAATAAAGAGTGCTTTCTGTTGTTCTTTTGGCACAATTTATTTCCTAACTGAAATACTTTAACCACTATTTTAGTGTAATTAAAGGAAAATGAGGATTATCCATAGACAGCAATCCCTAGTCCCTACAGGAACCTGAGGAGAAATAATTTCACTGACTTCATGTGTATCGGTGTCATCCCTTTTTGTTAGAGAACAGACAGGATTTGGGAATTTGAGGATCTGCTTCCCTGGACATGACACAAGACACGGGAGCAATAAGAAAGAATTAATGTTGTATCCATTACAGAGAAGGAAAAAAAGACAAAATTTTTAAAAATATATGTATATGGGTAGAGAGAGACTGGTTTTGAACTCCTGGGCTCAAGCAGTCCTCCCTCTTGTCTCCCAAATGTGTTGGGATTATAGGTGTAAGCCACCATGCCCAACCGTTAAAATAATTTTGAAATTAAAATTCTTTAGTACAGAATAAGCCACAGAGGCCACTAGCAGAGCAAAGTGCACATGGATAAAGAAGTTAATCTTATTTCAGTGAGTGACCAATATTATTTGTCTGCAACTTTACACTCATTACTCAATGAAAATTTTGATGCTCAATGTGGCTTGTAACAGGACATATGCCAGCATAATAAGATTAGTACTACTATTTTCAGATCTGTAAGTCATTAACTTCTCATAACTCTTAGTGGTTGAGAATTTTTCCAGTATTTAAAATGATTCCAAATCCTAATTATTAAGAGAACTTATCTGTTCTAAAATTCCCAAGGAGGATTTTATTTTGGGGGAGAGACATAGTATGATAAAAGCTTTCTTCACGGGTGTACCCAGAGCCCTCTTCATCTCAGACTGTGCATCCCTGGGCTGGCTGTTAAACTGTACCACTCCGATTTTGTGTTGTTCATATTCCTCTGGAATTTATTAACTCAACATAACTGAAGTATCAGTCAGGTATTTGTTCTTGGCACTGTGTTGACTGCTCCAGTACTCACACAAATCAGAGACATTATTTTGACCTCAAACATGGCTGCCTGGTGATGAGAAGATGTACATAATTATAATAAAAGAAAGTAATTGCAATAATAATCGTGATAGGGAGAAACTGCTGTAAGAGTGTAGAGGTAGAATATTATTTAGAAAAATCATGAAGAGACACTTAGCCTGAGTTTTTAAAGTGTTCAGAATTGAGAAGTCAGAGATGAAAGAAGGTGCTTGAGGTAGAACAGCATTAGCAAGGCTTTGATACAGCCCAACCAAGAGCGTCCAGGTCTGTATTTTCAGAGACATGAAAGGAATCAACATGTGAGAAGAATGAAAGTCTGTGGAGTGACCTTGAACTAGAGTCAGGACTGCAACTCATATGTGAATGCAATGGAATTTCTTAGCAAGTCACCAGAGGTCGGGGTTTGGCTTTGTGGGAGCTTGCTTTATGCAAATTAATCGCATAGATGTAGAGATGATATGACCAAGCATGGAGAAGTTATGACAAAGAACATTTTGAGAGTAGAACACAGGACCAGTGGAGAGAGGTGACGGCCAGGAGCCTGGGAGGGCATGCGTCTCTGCCTGTGATGGACAACAGGTACTAAATACCAACAGGAGGCCAGGGTAGTGAGAACCAAGTCAAGGGTCCTGGCTTTGGAGGTAGTCGGTCATTAGTGATTGTGAAGAGAATAATTTCAGCAAAATAGGAAAGGAGGAAGCTTAGACTGCAAGAGGTAAGTGACTGAGTAAGCAATGAGAAAGGAGAGGCAGCAGATGAAGAAAGTAATTCTGCAGGCTTCCCTCAGCAAAGACCCAATGCTGTCACCTGCATGAGAAGGGTCATGAGAGGGTGGGTGCAAAATGGTATGAATCAACTTCTTTTCTCTTCCAACATTTTCTCCTGCAGCCTCCATACAGGGGACCCCAAAAAAACTGGAATTATTTTTTTGGAGGGTGAGCCTCCTATAATACAAGCTTCCCCTAGGTAACTGTTCTAGGAACCTACCAGCATCAGCGTACCAGCTAGCATTGTTGTGAGAGGGCGCGTTCAGCCTCTGAATTTTTTTTGGAGATTCAATGCTTTTGCCCATTTCATGATGGGTGATTTACGAGCTCACGTTGAGTCTTCAGCAGTTTTTGACCAAAAACAGCATGATCCCCAAGCTCCATCCTCCCTATTCATCTGATCTCGCCCTGAATGACTCTTTTTTGTTTGTTTCCCTGGATGAGAAAAGTCCTCAAAGGTAAATATTTTGCTGATGTGGAAGAGGTGAAACAAAAAAATGGCAGAAGCACTAAAAGGCATCAAAATTGATGTTAAAAAAACTTTTGAGCAGTGTGAAAAAAAGCATTTCAATGGGCCTATTGGATCAAACAAAGTGTACTTTGAAGGTGACTGAAGTTTAAGCACATAAGAATAAATACACAATTTTTTATAAATTATTTTTCCCCCATCACCTCCATTGAGTTAAAAACTAAAGCTCCTCACACATCCTCCAAGATACTGGGTTGCCGTTACTCGGGGCAACAGTTCCCTTGCAAGCAGCCCCTTCTCTTGTTATATTTATGGAATCCGGCTGGAATCCAGTTATCAGAAACAACCCCCCTATCCCCACAACCTGATACAAGAACACAGGAGACTCTAAGTTTGGGTATCCTTCAACCATAACAATAAGAGTTTCAGCATTTAAAGATGAAAACCACCCATTTCCTTGACATGGATAAGGAGTCTTTCTCTCTCCTTGTACCTTTAAATTTCACTGCTCGCTTTGATGGGAAGAGGATGCAGTGATGGGATATTTAGTCACCAAAAATCAGCTGTCTACTTTCCTCTGTACACATACAAGCAACACAACAAAGTCACAACATAATAAGATTGGCCATCTCCCTCAAATTTTGACCTCTCCTTCTAGTGACCTGTTCCAATAGCCTTGGAAAACTATACAATTCCCAAACCCATGCTCCACACATGCCTCCAGTAACTCAGGACAAAGACCTTGCAGTCATTCTTGACTTTCCTTTACTAATCTAGTTAGAGAAACTCGCATCTAATCTGCCAGCAGACCCCTTCAGCTATACCTTTAAAATCTATCTGAAATCTAGCCACCTCCCCCACGATCACCCTATCCACACCACCTCCTGACTGGCCTCTCTGCTGCCACTCTTGGCCCTTTACTGTCTTTTCTCTACCCAAGCGTCTTTGGAAACATGTCTGATCATGAGCCCACTCTGCCCAAAAACTTCCTGTGCCTTTTTAACTCAGAATAAATGCCAAAATCTTTACAGTGTCTACGAGGTCCTCCATGGTCTGTTGCTTCTCTCCCCAGCACCTTCTGATCTCATCTCATTACATGCCCCCTTGCTGACTCCAAGCCAACCATAATAGTCACCCTGCTGCTTGTTGAACTTGAAGGGCTTTGCCATTTCTGCTCCCTCCGTTGGATGACTCCTGCCCCTGGCAACCACATGTCTAATCATCTTATTTTAGATGACAGCCCCAACCGAACCCACCAGACCTCCCTGTCCCCTTCTCCTGTTTGGTGTTTCGCCATTGCCTTTGTTAACGCTATAAAAATATTTGTTGGTTTATTATTAGTCTCTCCTGACTAAGGTTTGGGAAGGCAGGGAGTTTTGTCACTTTTGTACACTACTGCAGTACCAGAGCCTACAACATGGCCTGGCATATGATGGTTCAATAATTCTTCTTAAATGGCTAAGTGAACCCATGGATTCTAAAACACCATACATGTACATCCAGTTGAGCACCTGTACTCTTCTAGAGATTGCAACTATGCTTGGTGATTCTTGCGTCTTTTGTAAGCAGAGGAAAGGTTTACTTAGGTTAATTGGTCATTTGATCATGATGATTATTACTGTTATTATTCTGGAAAGGAGAGCAGGAAGTTTTTATATAGCAATAGATTTTTGTATTACAGGTATCTTAAAACTTCAAATGAGTTTTAAAACATCTTTTTAGCCTTAAGTTTCAGCTCTGTCTTTTCTCACCAGCCCCCGGCTTAAGACTTACAGTTCCCAAATAGGAACTCTATATATCTGAAGAATATGGATTGATAATAACTTTGGGCCTTCTGTCTTTCAGAAATAATCCAAAGTGAGTAGGCAGAAATTATTTTATGAGCTAGCTTCTTAAGAAGAAAAACCTGAATTAAGTTTTATATCTTTCAATTGAGTTATTACTGAACACAGAACTTGGCTTCAGAGATGTGTACTAAGCCCTTGGATTAGCTTTCTTTTTCTGCCTTCAGAAATATAAATTCTAAGTCTGAGCAACATAGAAGATAAAAAAAAAAATTTGAGTTTAATAAGCTTTAGTGATATTATTTCCAGGTCCTCAAAAATGCCAAGAATAGTAGCCTAGTTTTTAAGTATGGACAATTGTCTATAACGACTT